TAAAGCATGGTCTTCTGTTTTCTGATGTCACGTGTTCATTCCTGTGTGTGGTAGTGTAGCGAGGCAGACATCAGTGATGGTGATAGATTAGTATTGATTAGGACTGTATCACTCTGCCAGTGTCATACCACCTCACAACAGTTCTTTAATGAGGCAATTTGTGGACATTTTGACAGATCATCTGAATATACTTGGATTAAAAAAATATGAGGATTTGTTTTTGATATACCACATTAATACAATTTTTGTTTTGAAGACTAAAAGTTGGTAATTGGGCAAATGAGTGTTTGAAAAATGTGAATAACAACATAAGCACATTTTCTACAATCAAAGAAACATTTAAAAAATTTTTTTTTTTGAAGGGCTGACTTGGCAGTGATACAGGCTTACACCACAGTAATACATGCATATGCTATGGTAATTAGTGTCCAAATAAATTGCCTGCCCACCTGCCCGTGGCTGGTAACTTTTCTGTTGGGCCGCATGATATTTTCCTCCCCCTGCCCGACTGTCTGGCAGATAATTTTAAGACTACTTACATATTCAGTTTCATCATAACTCCTCGTAGATTCTCAAGTAATTGTTAGCATTATTTCAACTGAATCAAGATAAGATTTGTCTCAGTTTTCATGTTTTTTCAATAATTATAATGCCTGAATGCAGGCAGGTAACTTTTAAGATGGGCAGGCAACACTGTTGGGTCACCTGCCCGACTCTTGTTGGGTTTAAGATTTAAAACACTGTTGGTAATACAGGCTTTTATCACAGTACACTGTGAAATAATCATGATAAAAACAGTATCATGGGATATGATATTTAACAAGCATTGCTGATTGAAGAATGTATTTATTTTACTGAACAGTGACAGTGTTTAAAGCTAAACTGCTGATATTTGTTTGTTATGAATTGAAAAAATCCAGAGCCAGTTTCTTATTTTCTTCTCAGCTGTGGCATGCATTGGTTTCCACAGAACATGTGTTAAGGAACATACCTGCTGTTCCTTGAATACAGCTCGGCTAATGAGCTTACGTGTTGTATAAGTTGTCTTATTGCCCGTGCAGGTAGAGTTTGGGCACAGTCACAAGCAGCTTTGTTGACACTGAACTATGTAACAGTGTGTTGCTAATTACTGTTCTTCACCCGTGAGTGCATACATAAGGGTGTGTACATAAAAGTGGCTATATAAGAGCACTATGAGTTTTGTACCTGTTCTAAACAGTCTTTGTAGCAGGGGCTCGGAAAATGTAAAATCCCAATTGGACATTTGCATTCAGGCCACGCCCCCTTCAAATGGCGTATTTTTGTACGACTTTTGACACACATTACAAGTTGTTACGTACAGTGTTCCCTCGTTATTGAGCGCTTCAGTTATAGCGCGGTAAAGCATGGCTCCCAAAATTTACTAACATTTTGAATAAACTCAAGTTTTCCAATGACACAATGTTTTCCCCCATCTCAGAAAACATTATCAGCTGATCACGGCAATCACGTAACACCGGAAATACCAGTCAACAAATCCGAACTGAATATGCAATTTAATCCTATCATTATAATATCTGGTGATAAAAAAAACTGTTTATCTGGACTAGAGTTTGCAATATATTTGATTAATTTTATTCAATATTTCATTCAATAATTATAATGATGTTTACAATAATTTCGGCCAAATCGTATGCGAAGTGATCGGTAGATCGAAAAACTTACCGTTATTTACAGCAACCATGGTCAGATTACTGCTATTGCCGCCTTGAAACGAACTTTTGTTGCAATGGAATGGAGTTTGTAGGCATTAGAACTTTGGAGAACATGAATACATGACACATTTTATGGAGAGCAACTTCTTTTATTCCTTGTCACGATGTTTCAGAGCTACTTCTTGCTCCTTCATCAGGTGAATGATTTATTAACTTAAAGTGAATGATCATGAAAATAAAAATATAAAAAGAATAAAATAAGTTGCTATCTATAAAAAGTATCATGTATTCCTGTTCTAAACAGTCACCTTCACGTTCTTGTCCAATCAAATTATTGTGCTCCTCATACTCAAGAAGCCATGTTTGTTTTGCTGAATGTTGTGTTGGTGGGTATTTGTGTAGACACTACATATAGGGCCACTCTGTGGTGACTGAATTAATTATCCCCAAATATCACACTTCGGAAGATTGTGTTTTGAAAAATTTAGGCAAGTCTTTTCAGTTATTGGTTTACAGTTTAATCTGAAGGACATGACTTCAATGTCCCATTCTTTAACCGCTATGACTGTCATAATTACATGTATGTTAAAGTATAGGAGTGATGGTAGTGTGGGGTAGTGTTTGGCACTCTATGAATAATCAAATCTGGACCAGACAATCCTGTGATTGACATCATGAGGATCAATCTACTCAATTGGGATACGATGACATGCATCAAACCAAGTCAGATCCCATTAGTCACCTGTCTAAAGACAAGCATGGGTTGCTGAAGACCGATTCTAACCCAGATCTCCACAGGGTTGACGAGTAGTGGGTGAGGACTGAGGAGTATAGGATTATGATAATATATTGCTATGGTTTTGATCTGATGTCATAAAGTAAAAGTTTCTGAGGGAGTGAGTGAGTGAGTGAGTACGGTTTTACGCCGCTTTTAGCAATTTTCCAGCAATATCACGGCGGGGGACACCAGAAATGGGCTTCACACATTGTACCCATGTCGGGACTCGAACCCGGGTCTTCGGCGTGACGAGCGAACGCTTTAACCACTAGGCTACCCGACCGCCCCAGTTTCTGAGGGAAATAACTTTTTCTGAATGCAAAAGTATAAGTGGTAGCAGGATCACGAGGGGTACATGAGGTTTTGTGTGCCCCATATAGGGTTTACACCATGTGACCGAGTGATCCTGCTACAAAGATTTTATCTTACCAACATGTTTAAATGTGACATTGTAAAAGATTTAACACAAATTCAAAATTGATTGAAAACAGCTGTTCGATTAAGCTGAGGTTATGTCGCGTGACTTTAATGTGACTTGAAAAAAATGTGCAGCTTTTTGCTTTGTAGCGGGGTATAAGGGATTTATTCTGCCTCTCAGAAATCCATGTGCAGGCTGTATTGCTCATGGCGGGGTATAAGAGATTTATTCCCCCGCTGAGAAATTTATTACACTCCAAGGCGGGATACATCATATTTTATCAAGATCACATGGACCAATCAGATCCCATCATTCTGACATGGAGGTATGATAATATTATTTATCTACTGAATACACATCAGGTGGTATAGGAACAAAACAGCTCAAACAAGGACATAGATGCCTCTGGTCAAATTGAGAAATTAAAGAAACAGAAGTACTATGCATAAATTACACAATGTCGTTAAATTGAATCATTTACTCCGATACAACCCCCTAGCCGATCTTCACACTAGAGCTGTTGTAGTGGCTATGCTTCAACATAGACTCACAGTAGTCGTAGCGCTGAGATCGGATTGCGGAATGAGTCAGTGGTTGCCAGATTTAAATATATGGCCATGTATGTATTGCATATCAGGTGTCCAACACTTTGCCACTTGTATAATACACAGACACACTCAAGGGTTCCGTCAATATTTGACTTCCTGACGAACTTGTCACTCCACGTTGAGAGTACACCCACAATGAGCTTCACTATCAAAGAGAAGCCTGTGTGTTCGGGCAATAAAATTTGACTCCGGCAAGTACAAATAACTCGATAGTTAATAAATCTTGACACCTGTGATTGAGAAATATATGTACCTAGTAACTTGAGTTTTGAGTTGAGGAATAAAATTCAAAATTGTGCAGTGAGTGATATCTAGACCATACATCATGTGCAGTGGGTCTTGAATCAAATCAAGGTGTGTTTTATTGGAAAGCAATCATCGGGGAAAGTGTGATTGGTTTTGAATCATGGCTGTTTGTGATGGGAGAGGTCTGTAATATTGCCTCGAGTTAGTTCTTTGCATGTTATTGATGGTGATCGAGTCGGTGTACATGGCCCTTTGATTGGTGCACTGTTATAACATCCAGTTACAGCCTCATTGTTCAGGTGGTCAATATCAGCTGATTGCTGTTGTTGGTAGTTGTATGTTGTGAGGAAAACAAACAGACCTTTGATCCCACAAACAATGATATGAAGTAAATGGTAGAGCACAATGACTACATTTTGCTTGGCTGCAGCGATCTTAGCGTCGACAAATTTGCCAGAGTTATATACGACAGCCCGAGATGTTGTTGTGGCGATCACACACAAGATGCACTTCATTTCTTTCTTATGTGTCCCTTAAACAGTACATTAAGGCAAAATATGTATTATTTTGTAAAAGGCTACGATTTAATTTCAATTCTAAATGGTAATTCACATTTAACGACTGTAACAAATCTTGACATTTTGAAATCAGTGCGCAGTTTTATTCTGTCTTCTTGCCGATTTAGAGATTTTGTCTGAGATGTTGGCTTTGCTATATGATACTGCGATGTTGTTGTGCTGGATGTAAATAATAACGTAGCTGTAGTTACGAAAGATAATCGAGTAAGGAAACACTTACAGAACAATAATTATCTTTAATGCCAATTATATAATGTATGCTATTTCTCATGTCACTATCAATACATTGTAATTTGTATATGTATCATGTTTGGGAGAGGCATTCTGATAAGAAAAATTTGCTTGTTTGCCAACCCCTCCATTTTATGGAAATAAATATGTTTATTTCAATTCATATTTTGGGTGCATTGTTTTGTACCTGTTTGTGAATATATTGCTAACTTTTTAAAATTTTAGTTGTTGAAGTGACTGAAGTGGTTGAAAGTTTCAGTTGTGTTGTTTATGAAAAACATTTTGTTGTGCAATTTACAGGGTTGTCATTTAATATTCAATATATATTTCAAGTTATGAGACCTTTTTAAAGCTTATAATTTTCAATTGTCATTTTGTGCACTTTTCGTTGCAGTAATATTGCAACATAAGTAGGTTTGTATGCCTATACTGTACATGTCGTTGCAGCGATGTTGTCTGCTGGAGTCGCTGCTGCGCAAGAGCAACTACACACAGTTCCAGTTCCTGTACACGGTGATGCAGCCGACGCTGCACCGCGACTTCATGTACACCGCCCGCAGCCACTTCCCCGACATCGACTTCCAGCCCATCAGCACTCACACCAGCAGGGAGCTCAAGGTGGGTGGGAACATCACCGGAGTGTATACTGCGCTGTTTGGTATCCTGAATTATCCTAAATCTCAGTACAATTCTGTCTGTCGATCCAGTATGATACCACCATGTGTGACAAACCCTGGAAGACCCTGTGGTAATCTTTGACCACCCAATTGAAATGAAGGAACAGTGTTTCTTAAGCCAATCAGATAAGTTTATGTTACATATTGTAATAAATATCCAGAATAATATGAGAGCGCTGCCTTTTTTTTTTCCATTTAGCCCTGCATGTTTATGTTCATTTTCAACATTTCCTCCCACCTCTCCAATCACCTTCTTCACCCATACCAGGGCGGTTGGGTAGCCTAGTGGTTAAAGCGTTCGCTCGTCATGCCGAAGACCCGGGGTTCGATTCCCGACATGGGTACAATGTGTGAAGCCCATTTCTGGTGTCCCCCGCCGTGATATTGCTGGAATATTGCTAAAGCGGCGTAAAACCATACTCGCTCACTCACTCACTTCACCCCTACCAACCCCCTCCATCTCTATACGACCACCTATGCCATCACCTTACTCTTACCCCTCACACAAACCCAACCTTCACATCTTTTCCTTGTTTGTATCATTTCAGGAAAAAATTACAAGGTTGCGACAAAATAATTACTTTCGAGTGAAGTCAGCATATCTTCAACTTGATGATGATGTGAAGGCCAAGTTCAAGGACACAGAATGCATTAAGCTGCCTCATCTTGCCCCCCAGCAGTCCAGGTGAGGCATCTTTCCTGTCAGAGAAGATATCCTTTTACTCATCATGTCATCTGTCTCTCCAATCTCCCTCCCACTCAAACACCAATAGCAGGGTAAACGTAGCAGACATTTTATCTCATTAAAGTCAGACCCCACTGCTTGGCCAGACTCAGTAACAGTCCCCTGTAATATAGCTGGAATACTGCTGAATACCACACTCACTCACTCAAACAATACATTGAGAATTACTTTTACTGTTCATATAGATAAAAGTGACAAAACCTTTTACATAATATAAGAAATCGCTACTAAAAGTAGAGTCCATTGGGCTATTCAGACCATATAACGTGTTCAAATTTGCGTTGAACCAAACTCACTCACTCACACAAGCTCGGAGGTTCACACAGTTTAACCATCGCTTTTCAATCGTTCACACTTCAATGAACCCATCCAAACTGACGTTCATTTCTTAAATGTACTGAAATAATTATTCTCCCCTGATCCATATCATATTTTTCAATGACCCTCCCCAAGCTCTTGTACATTTTTAACATGTCTTTTCCTGAAAAGACAAAATGCACGAGAACTTTACGTTTTATTATAGAATGTCCATTTTCCCCGGCCTCCTCATGGATGTGTTTAATATTTTAGGACCCTCCCCTAGAGACTGTCCTATTTTTGGGTGACCCTCCCTCCCGATTCCTTGCACCCACCCCCTCCTATGATAAATGACTGGTCCCTAGGATCTGATTTTAATGAGATTGAAGTAACAAGATGCTAAAATAATGTTTATTGGAAGTCATTACTTTTAAATCACATGTTAATAAAGACAGGTCAAGTTTTAGAAATAGAATCACTGGATCATAATCAACAGATTGATTGGCTTTACTGTTCTGAAATCTAAACGATATACTTCCTTTCTACCAGTTTATTATTCAATGGCTTGCTGCTTGTAGAGTGTATGCATGTAACCCAATAAAAAAATCAGTACTAAAGATCATTTTGTTGTCCAGAATATGTCTAAGTTTCCCATCAAATACCTGATTCTACATAAATATTTATTGGAAATCAGTACATTGAAATTGCCTCAAGTTATTTGACCTTTTAGATAAAAGGATATATTGACATAAAAATGTACTTAGAAATCCGAAAACTTTTAACACAAAGGTATTGTTGTTTTGTTTACTTTACCTCTTATCATTGATGACTGATGGTTAATACTTAATGAATATTCATAAGGCTGTATGCTGGCATATCAGTTGGAGCACTCTGACAGGTTGGGGTTTCCTAATCTGAAGATTGTGTTCCGCTGTAGTGGACGGAGGTTACAGGGATGAGTTAGTCTGCGGAATGCTGGGTCGTACTACCGTTGCTTTGTGGGAATAGGCCTTCACTGACAAATGTCATTTTCTTATGTTGTGGAAGATTGTTTTCGAGCAAGTGACACAAAAATAATTTTTGTTTTTTTTCTTTTATGAAGAAAAAATGTAAGAATCTCATTTCAAGATATCCATTCCGAGATATTTTTGTAGACATTCAAAGAATTACTTTTTAATGTGTAAATTATAACTAAATCAAGAAGGAATGTGGAATTCTTGATAGAAGCCATATAACACTTTGTATCTATTGAAGTAATTTGTCGCTAAGAAAATTAGAGATAAAAGAGAAGAAAATGGATTTCTTTCAATAAAGCCCAATAAGATTTCTTCAAGTGATAGAAACATTTTCTTTTTTCACAGAGTTTTAATTCTTACTTTTGTACATTTATGTTGCATGGTTTAAGGAAAAGTATTTCTAAACAGTTTCTTGTTTCAAGATGTTTTAAGTTAATTCTTTTAAAGGTTTAGAAATTTCTTTGTAGTGATATCTGATTCCTTGGTCCCAAGTTGGGGGGTTTTCTTGTGGAATAAGTGTTTACATGGTAAAATTACTGTAATGCTTCCTGATGTTTAGATTCTTTAAAGAGTTGAATAGAAATTAAAACAAACTTGCACAAGCATATTTGTAAACAGTAATCTCATAAGATAATAATTGTCAGGGTGTAACAAGGAAATCTACTTGAGATAGATTTTTTTATTACTTAAATTTGTTAACATACTTGATGGGTCGAAGTATTGTATATTTTTATTCAGCAAAATTATGATAAATATATCGAGGGCTCACTTGTACAAGTCTGTGACTTTGAATGTAAATGTATATGGAAATCGTGTTCGGAAGAGGCAGTTTGATTGGTTATTCATTTCCTGTTCATGTGTGAGAGAAATTCTGTTCAAAAGTAGTTTTAAGAGACATGGAACTGTTACGTCACCTTTGAAACAAAGCTGTGTTGTTGAATTATAATAGTCGAGGGTATTTATCATAAGAGAATGGAGATATTAGTACCCTGGATAAAGGAGGATGGGTGAATGAATGGGTAAGTGAGTGGTTGTGTAGATGAGTCTTTGAATGAGTGAGTGAATGAGTGAGTGAGTGAGAAGTGGTGTGAGTGGTTAAGTGGTTGAAAATATCAGTATCACATGCCAAATATTTGGGCATCAAATACTCAATAACAACGGCAAATCTCAAGAAACATATTGTCCTAAATGTTGCAGATGTCAGCCAGTGAGCAAGTCAGCCCCAAGCCTGCTCAAGTTGACGTCTAAGTCAGTGTTGGCCAAGCTGCCCCAGGTACACCAGGCAGCAGTGGTGAAGTGGGGCAGCACCAGCAGCATCAGCAACAGCACCGACATGCAGCAACACCCTGCACAGCGCACCGACACACTCCTCAGGTAGGTTGGCTCAGAGGGAGGTATCGACACACTCCTCAGGTAGGTGGTCTCAGAGGGAGGTATCGACACACTCCTCAGGTAGGTGGTCTCAGAGGGAGGTATCGACACACTCCTCAGGTAGGTGGGCTCAGAGGGAGGTATCGACACACTCCTCAGGTAGGTTGGCTCAGAGGGAGGTATCGACACACTCCTCAGGTAGGTGGGCTCAGAGGGAGGTATCGACACACTCCTCAGGTAGGTGGGCTGAGAGGGAGGTATAGACACACTCCTCAGGTAGGTGGGCTCAGAGGGAGGTATCGACACACTCCTCAGGTAGGTTGGCTGAGAGGGAGGTACTGACACACTCCTCAGGTAGGTGGGCTGAGAGGGAGGTACTGACACACTCCTCAGGTAGGTGGGCTGAGAGGGAGGTACTGACACACTCCTCAGGTAGGTGGGCTCAGAGGGAGGTATAGACATACTCCTCAGGTAGGTGGGCTCAGAGGGAGGTATCGACACACTCCTCAGGTAGGTGGGCTCAGAGGGAGGTATAGACACACTCCTCAGGTAGGTGGGCTCAGAGGGAGGTATCGACACACTCCTCAGGTAGGTGGGCTCAGAGGGAGGTATAGACACACTCCTCAGGTAGGTGGGGTCAGAGGGAGGTATCGATACACTCCTCAGGTAGATGGGCTCAGAGGGAGGTAAAGACACCCTCCTCAGGTAGGTGGGCTCAGAGGGAGGTATCAACACACTCCTCAGGTAGGTGGGCTCAGAGGGAGGTATAGACACACTCCTCAGGTAGTTGGGCTCCTAGGCTCCTGAGGTCCTCAATCTCATTAAAATCTGATCTTTGTTCTCGCTATCGTTAAACAAAGATCTGAGGACATCCCATTACGGATCATGTCAGAACGACCTTTCATCCAACCTATCAGAGGGCCGCTTACCAGATCATGAAAGTGACACACGGAATGTGGTTTCTAATCATGCAACCTCGAAAAATGTAACAGAGGGTAATCCAAACGACTGTTACAGGTTTTATGATTATATCCATACAATCTAGGCCATCTATGAGCCATTCCAAAATGCTCTTTTTATCAGTTTTAGAATTTTTAATTGAGAATACGTCAAAATATGTTTCGAAGCGTAGTCGCCAGTTTGAAACTTGTGTCGTAAAGCTCAAGAAAGCTGCCTTCTGATTGGCTAATGTCTATTTCTTGTTGGTCGTTTCACTGGTCAGTCAAAGTTCGCGAAAGGTCGTTCCGACTTGACCCGTTATGGGATGTCCTCAGATCTTTGTTTAGCGGTAGGCTTCTGGCCTCCTTGGCCCCGTTCCACAAAGCAGTCCCAGCGCAAAGTTGATGTATTTTCACATAGGCTTACCATTGTCATTACACTAAGATCGTTTTGTGGAATGGGAGGCTGGCAAGCTGATGAAACAGAGTTGAAAGTAAGGACTCAATATCTTATGCTAACTGCAACATTGCTTCTGTTTGTTTGAGTTGCTACTATTGTTGTGCTGTTTCAGGTTTGTGGAGATGCCAGTGAGGCGGCACATGCAGGACGAGACCTCGCCACGTGTCAGCAACAACGTGAGATCCTCCCTGACCTCTGACTCCCCGAACCCGGGCAGCTCCACCACCGACTCACAGCTTCTCTCCACTGCAGTAGCAGGACCCAGGAAGAAGAGGAAGGTGAGCTACAGAACTGTAGGGGAAAGGGGGGGGGACAACCAGCTGTCTGGGGAGGCTGCCCAGGATAGCCCATCTTCCCGAGGCAAGGGAGTTAGCTGACTATAAAAGTCCAGTTACCACCCTTGCCGAACTAGGCTGCAATTATTGAGTTATATTTTGGCTGGACTAACGAGTCTTAAACTGCCATGCAGATTTCGGTCAAAGTATGTGTACCTCCAACTCAGCATCAACAGATATTTTCTAAAGCTTTTCATGTTTTTATTCAAGGTGATTGGATTCACTTCGCAAAATAAGACCCTTTATATTAAAAAAGACAATTTTGATTATCCATCAGATCGTCTTGACTGGGCGCTGCCATTATGTTTGAAACAAATGCAAGTGATATGAAAGGTGGAATCTGATTGGTCACTCGGAGGGACATAGAAGGGACAAAACTTGTAATAGCCACTGCTCGCACAAAGATTGAGGCAAGAAATTCCATCCTAGTTCGGAAAGGGTGGAAACTGGACTTTTACAGCCAGTTAACTCCCTTGCCTCGGAGGATGAGGATAGCCACTTGTACCTATGTTTGTACTACAAGTTAAACACAGGTGGCACAGTGGACTAAGCCATAGCTGCCATGATCTGCTTGTCATCAATCCAAGATTGGCACTTATGATGATCCTTGATTTTTTAGCTGCCAAACTAACTGTCGACAGAATATTCCCCAGGGCTTTCCTCCAGTATCAGCCCCACCCTTTGTGGTGTAGTGGATAAAGTGTCTGCTCTGTCACTGGAGGTCGGTGGTTCAATCCCTGGCTGCATCTTACCAAAACACTTTAAAAGATGGTACTTGTTGTTACCCTGCTGGCGCTCGGCATTAAGGGGATATATCAATCACTGGTGTCCATGTTTAACTGTGTGATGTTTTCTCAGTAGACTAGCACAATGGACTAGGACAGTGTTAGTCCGAACTAGTACAAGCAACCACACACACATGTGCATGCATGTCGCTATATAAGTGCAATGATCTTGAACACGAAGTTAAACCCCATTTCATCTCTCCTCACTTTCCTTCAGTATCAAGTTAAACATGTTGACAGGACATGAAATAACTGCATGAAGGACAGTTGGTATAGAAACAGATCAGTCATTAATTACAAACATTTGATAATCTTTTGCTTCTTCATAGCTCTAGATCTATTTCACTTTAAGATTAAAGTAAGGTCTTAAATTTCCTATTGAATTTGGTTACATGGATATTAAGGAACTTATTCTTTTACTGAAATCTATGAATATATATACTCTTTTGTTTCTTGTAGCTGAAACTTTCTTTTGCCAAAGACAAATCAAGAACTATCGACCATGAACCTAAGACAGTAAGTATGCATGGATCCCAGGCTTTGTTGAGTGGTGCACTGGAGTGTTGATTGTTGTTATTCAGACCAATTCCTCCCCCACCCCTCTTCCCCATCCACTGCACTTGTAGTACCCTGCATGTCACTTAATGGAGAGGGGGTGAATATTTTAGTCAGATTATTTTGGTCAGATGGCAGTTGGTTGACATTTCTGACACAGGAATTGGTTGCCACATTGCTTGTGATGTCAGATGTAGGAATTGGTTGCCATATTGCATGGGATGTCTAATGGTAATGTAATTGGTTGCCACATTGCATGTGATGTCAGATGCAGGAATTGGTTGCCACATTGCATGTGATGTCAGATGCAGGAATTGGTTGCAACATTGCATGTGATGTCAGATGCAGGAATTGGTTGCAACATTGCATGTGATGTCAGATGCAGGAATTGGTTGCAACATTGCATGTGATGTCAGATGCAGGAATTGGTTGCAACATTGCATGTGATGTCAGATGCAGGAATTGGTTGCCACTTTGCATGGGATGTCAGATGCAGGAATTGGTTGCAACATTGCATGTGATGTCAGATGCAGGAATTGGTTGCCACTTTGCATGGGATGTCAGATGCAGGAATTGGTTGCCACTTTGCATGGGATGTCAGATGCAGGAATTGGTTGCAACATTGCATGTGATGTCAGATGCAGGAATTGGTTGCCACTTTGCATGGGATGTCAGATGCAGGAATTGGTTGCAACATTGCATGGGATGTCAGATGCAGGAATTGGTTGCAACATTGCATGTGATGTCAGGTGCAGGAATTGGTTGCAACATTGCATGTGATGTCAGATGCAGGAATTGGTTGCAACATTGCATGTGATGTCAGGTGCAGGAATTGGTTGCAACATTGCATGTGATGTCAGGTGCAGGAATTGGTTGCAACATTGCATGGGATGTCAGGTGCAGGAATTGGTTGCAACATTGCATGTGATGTCAGATGCAGGAATTGGTTGCAACATTGCATGGGATGTCAGGTGCAGGAATTGGTTGCAACATTGCATGTGATGTCAGATGCAGGAATTGGTTGCAACATTGCATGTGATGTCAGATGCAGGAATTGGTTGCAACATTGCATGTGATGTCAGGTGCAGGAATTGGTTGCAACATTGCATGTGATGTCAGATGCAGGAATTGGTTGCAACATTGCATGTGATGTCAGGTGCAGGAATTGGTTGCAACATTGCATGTGATGTCAGATGCAGGAATTGGTTGCAACATTGCATGGGATGTCAGGTGCAGGAATTGGTTGCCACTTTGCATGTGATGTCAGATGCAGGAATTGGTTGCAACATTGCATGGGATGTCAGATGCAGGAATTGGTTGCCACTTTGCATGTGATGTCAGATGCAGGAATTGGTTGCAACATTGCATGGGATGTCAGATGCAGGAATTGGTTGCAACATTGCATGTGATGTCAGGTGCAGGAATTGGTTGCAACATTGCATGTGATGTCAGATGCAGGAATTGGTTGCAACATTGCATGGGATGTCAGGTGCAGGAATTGGTTGCAACATTGCATGGGATGTCAGGTGCAGGAATTGGTTGCAACATTGCATGCGATGTCAGGTGCAGGAATTGGTTGCCACATTGCATGTGATGTCTGACACAGGAATTGATCAGATGAAAGGTTGTTCTAACATGACCTGTAATGGGATGTCCTCAGATCTTGTACGCGTCACTCTGATTGGTCGGATGAAAGGTTGTTCTGACATGACCTGTAATGGGATGTCCTCAGATCTTGTACGTGACGCTCTGATTGGTTGGATGAAAGTTTGTTGTGACATGACCTGTGATGGGATGTCCTCAGATCTTATAAGTGACGCACTGATTGGTCGGATGAAAGGTTGTTCTAACATGACCTGTAATGGGATGTCCTCAGATCTTGTAAGCGACGCTCTGATTGGTTGGATGAAAGTTTGTTGTGACATGACCTGTGATGGGATGTCCTCAGATCTTATAAGTGACGCACTGATTGGTCGGATGAAAGGTTGTTCTAACATGACCTGTAATGGGATGTCCTCAGATCTTGTAAGCGACGCTCTGATTGGTCGGATGAAAGTTTGTTGTGACATGACCTGTGATTGGATGTCCTCAGATCTTATAAGTGACGCACTGATTGGTCGGATGAAAGGTTGTTCTAACATGACCTGTAATGGGATGTCCTCAGATCTTGTAAGCGACGCTCTGATTGGTTGGATGAAAGTTTGTTGTGACATGACCTGTGATGGGATGTCCCCAGATCTTTGTGCAGCAATAGAGAGCTGTAAGGTCTGATTTTAATGACATTTGTATCCGAGTGACATCACATGCAGTTTCTCCCTCAAACCTGACGTGTATGTTGGTTGTTCCAGAGAGTCCCCCTTCCACCATGTCCACTGTCTGACGAGGCCCAGGAGCTGATGTACTGGTACACAGATGTCTGGGATAGTGGGTACACTTTTCAATCTTATGCTGTTACCGTATTTGAAGTAATAAGCGCCCCACTCTGATAAGCGCCCAAGGCGATATATCTAATATATTGGCTAGTGAACAATCACAATTAGCACCCATTCCGATTGATCAATGTACAAAAGACTTATTTATTCGTGTATAATATGTGCTCGTGTGTTATATGCACCCTTAATTATGGGCAATTAAATTCTGGAAAAATATATCTGTCGTGTATAATAAGCACAGACTTTTCTCTTGTGTTATTTCAGGCTGTCAGCATAAACCACAAAATTTATGACCTTTCAACTTTTTTTTCACAAAAATTATATTCTAATTAGAGCCCTCTATTTCTAATTTTGAGAACGCCCTAAGCGCCTATTACGTTGAATACGGGAATTTATTTTTCGAATTTATTTTGCATGTTCTGACCTTAGAAAAACTGAAAAGTGGGAAAAAAAATCTGGAAAGCAAAATTTCTTTTATTCAATGACTATACAAAAGAATTATGGTCTGTAAAACTGCTTGAAATTTCTATTTCAGATACTAGGAAAAATGAATTCTTCCACAAAATGCTGTTAAAATTAGACCTGAGACAGCACTACTTCATCTCAAACTTCCTCATTGTGAGTATAGAACATCTACTTGTATTTATCTCGGAAGTCAAGAGCCTGCCCATTACCGTATTTTCTTGAGTATAGTGTGCACTTTTTTTCGAAAAAACACAGCTGTGTAGAAGGGGGTGCGCATTATACACAAATTATGAGTTTGGATGTTTTTTTCCCCCATGGAAAGACATTACTGTGAGCACGAAACACCGGGAATACCATGTCAACAAATCCATACTGAAGTACGCAAAATAATTATGTAATTACACTGTCTGGCTATAAAAAGTGTTCTTTGTATATCTGGACTTATGTTTGTAACTTATTTCATTGATTTTATTCAAAATTCCTTATAATATTGTTTTTATTAATTTCGGCGAAATCGTGTGTGAAGCGATCGGAAGATCGCACAACTCACCGTTATTAACAGCAACCACGGTCAGAATACCGCTATTGACGCCTTTAAACAAACTTTAGTTGACAGAGAATGGATACATATATCATAAATGACATACTTTGACTCGTTAAAAGTCATATTTGTTTTTGTTTGACGATTCTCTGTCAACATGAAATTCTCGCGATCACGTGATCACGTGCACGTGAGCCTTGACGGTGACTGGTCAGACATGTTCCATGTAAAAAATAATACCCGGGAATAGCGATCAGCTGCTTCGCTTAGGGTTATTATTATTTTAAATATGTTTAGTAAAGGTTGCATATAATTAAGAAAATAATGGAATATATTATTCCTGATAAATAAAATAGTTTCAGATACAATTGTTGCCGATCCTTGCATTAAAAATCTTATAAAGTTATATCATTGGGTGTGTCTTGACGAATCACCGGTCGATTCCAAGAAAACGTGTGTACAGCCACGGACGTATATACAATATTCTATATACGTCTTTGGTACAGCTGATTGCTGTTTCCAGCTTAGTTTACGAGAAAATACGCAAGGTAATCTTAATCCCTAAATATAAAACAATGCCTAGCAGAACAATAAATACTATTTAAACGGTAAATAAACATGTCTGGTGATTTTTTATCTCAAATTTCGAATTTGTACTGACGAAGTTTCTCAGCACCCGTTTGTTTGCCGGACTTCGCTGAAAGGGTAAGGTGTAAAAAGTTTCTGCGCATAATATTCAAATTTCTTTTTTTTCCAAAATATTGAACCCGCTAGAGGGGGGTGCGCATTATACATGGGTGCGCACTATACTCAAGAAAATACGGTATACAAAAATATCCTATATCAACTACTTTTGTAACTTCTGCTTTAATTACCAACTGTGGGAAAGAAAATATACCTCGGATATTGTTTTTCAATATATTTGCGAATGTGTTTTGTAATTGCCCTGCTGTGTCCCCCCAGATCAAGCAGTACCGGGACTTCCTGGCCCTGCTGCCGGAACCCCTGGCCCTGAAGATCCTCAGTTACCTCTCCCCCGTAGAACTCCTGCAGGCATCCAGGGTAAGTGTCTGCAGGATCTCACAAAACCTGCTGCATGTCGGTTATTATTGTGAGTACTGGTACCTCCAAGGGTAAGTGTCTGCAGGATCTCACAAAACCTGCTGCATGTCGGTTATCATTGTGAGTACTGGTACCTCCCAGGGTAAGTGTCTGCAGGATCTCACAAAACCTGCTGCATGTCGGTTATCATTGTGAGTACTGGTACCTCCCAGGGTAAGTGTCTGCAGGATCTCACAAAACCTGCTGCATGTCGGTTATCATTGTGAGTACTGGTACCTCCCAGGGTAAGTGTCTGCAGGATTTCACAAAACCTGCTGCATGTCGGTTATCATTGTGAGTACTGGTACCTCCCAGGGTAAGTGTCTGCAGGATTTCACAAAACCTGCTGCATGTCAGTTATCTTTGTGAGTACTGGTACCTCCCAGGGTAAGTGTCTGCAGGATCTCACAAAACCTGCTGCATGTCAGTTATCTTTGTGAGTACCGGTACCTCCAAGGGTAAGTGTCTGCAGGATTTCACAAAACCTGCTGCATGTTAGTTATCTTTGTGAGTACTGGTACCTCCAAGGGTAAGTGTCTGCAGGATCTCACTAAACCTGCTGCATGTCAGTTATCTTTGTGAGTACTGGTACCTCCCAGGGTAAGTGTCTGCAGGATCTCACAAAACCTGCTGCATGTCAGTTATCTTTGTGAGTACTGGTACCTCCCAGGGTAAGTGTCTGCAGGATTTCACAAAACCTGCTGCATGTCAGTTATCTTTGTGAGTACCGGTACCTCCCAGGGTAAGTGTCTGCAGGATTTCACAAAACCTCCTGCATGTCGGTTATCTTTGTGAGTACTGGTACCTCCCAGGGTAAGTGTCTGCAGGATTTCACAAAACCTGCTGCATTTCGTTTATCATTGTGAGTACTGGTACCTCCCAGGGTAAGTGTCTGCAGGATTTCACAAAACCTGCTGCATGTGGGTTATCATTGTGAGTACCGGTACCTCCCAGGGTAAGTGTCTGCAGGATCTCACAAAACCTGCTGCATGTCGGTTATCATTGTGAGTACCGGTACCTCCCAGGGTAAGTGTCTGCAGGATTTCACAAAACCTGCTGCATGTTGTTTATCATTGTGAGTACCGGTACCTCCCAGGGTAAGTGTCTGCAGGATCTCACAAAACCTGCTGCATGTCGGTTATCATTGTGAGTACCGGTACTTCCCAGGTTTCTATATACTACTGTCCTCCATCTTACGAAGACTTATTAACCTTCAGTGACTATATCTTATTGTTCTCCAGTCAGGTTAAATCTCAAACAGGGATGTTATTATATCCCCGGGCATTTTACATAATATCCCAGGCATTTTATCAATACAACTTCCGTTTAGATGTTGACAATCTTGCTAGAAATGTATTTTGCATTTTGACACAATTTAATGAAATGTAAAATCAAATGACAAATGTTTTCTTTATATTCCTGAGGATCGAACACATAGCCTTCATATCACTAGCGTACAACTATAGTCCGGAAGGTAATTTAAGGTACCGATGTTTACTACAATATCTGAAAAACTTTTGGAAATAAACACTCACATAACACGAGTCATTGGCGTTAACTGACTATAAAAGTCCAGTTTCCACCCTTGCCGAACTAGGCTGGAATTCCGGAGATACATTTTGGCTGGACTAATAAGTCTATGCATAGTCCAATCAAAATCCTGTAATGAATAGGCACACAAGAGTGCGGTCGACTGCAGGATTTTCAAAGCATGTGTACTGTGAACTGTGCATTGACAGATATTTAGCAAATCATTTCATGAATTTTAATCAAGATGCTCAAGCGATTGGATGCACTTCGCGAGGTATGATCTGTTTTATTACAATGTAGAACTTGATTATCGATCAAATCGCCTTGACTGGCTGCCGCCATTTGTTTGAAGCTAATGCAAGTGAGAGGTGGAATCTGATTGGACCATAGAAGGGACTAACTCGTAATAGCCACCGATGGTGCTACAATTGCAGTCTAGTTCGGCAAGGGTGGAAACTGGACTATAGAAGTCAGTTGCCCTTGCCTCAGGAAGATGCATAACATTGCACAAACAGCAAATGTGCCAACCTTGTGAGCATGTACACTACACCTTGCTTCAATATCAGACAATTTTGAACTTTATTTGCAAAAATTATTAAACTTAATTCAAGAAAAACAGATACAAATCATGTTTATGTATGGAAATAGTTATTGGAGCAGTTATTTAGGACGAAATGCGAAGTTTTATTGTCAAATGCTGGGCTGGCTATCGGACGCCGGTTGACATCGCCAGTGGAAGCTGAAAGTGAAACAACTGGAAAAAAATGTGAGATCTTCGACTCTGTGTATAAGACGACCCCCCCTTCTTAACTCCCTCATTTTAGGTCTGAAAAACTCGCCTTATACACAGCGATATCCGGTAGTTTTGTCACAAAGAGTTGCCAATATGTTCAACAAGTTACTTTTATTTTCCTGCTGTTTTCTTGGGGAAGTATTTGCAGAGGCTTAAATTTTTGGCCTATTAGCTCGCTATGCTTGAGACAAATGTGGAGGAGACTTCAGAAACTGCTAGACTGACAAGGTTGGATATTGTGCTAACAAAGTAAGGAAAATTACTGAGGGGAGTATGGACTTTGATCAGCAGACGGACCTTCACCCTCTTGGTCAACCTTGCCATAACCATTTTCAGAGAAAATGTGTGAGCTTCTGCATAGATTCAACCCAGTTCACACAGTGATTTGCAGTAGATTCATCTAAATATGTTTATGTTAGGTGAACAAGACCTGGCAGAGCCTCACCAACAATAATGAGCTGTGGAGGTCAAAGTGCAGCGAGGTCAAGCTGGAGGTCAGGGTCAACAGTGCGCCAATCTGGAAGAAACTGTTTCGGGACAACATGTACCTTCGCCTGAACTGGAACAATGGCGTCTGCCGAAAAATAGATCTCCAAGGACACACACAGAGGTAAGAACTGCCCATGAGTTGGTAGTGTACTCCACAGGGTGCTGACAATGACATTGGACCCAAATCCTTTCCATAATCATAAGAGTCCATTGTACTACATGTACTCTGACTATATAACTTCATAACGTGTTCAAATCAGCGTGGGGCGGTCGGGTAGCCTAGTGGTTAAAGCGTTCGCTCGTCACGCCAAAGACCTGGGTTCGATTCCCGACATGGGAACAATGTGTGAAGCCCATTTCTGGTGTCCCCCGCTGTGATATTGCTGGAATATTGCTAAAAGCGGCGTAAAACCATACTCACTCTCTCACTCAAATCAGCGTTGAACCAAACTCACTCACTCACTCACTCTATTCTTGGATGACTGCTCACACAATCAACCAGTGGCCTAATCTTGTCCAATCTCATTTAAATCAGATCTTTGTTCTCGCTTCTGCTAAACAAAGATCTGAGGACATCCCATTACAGCTCATGTCACGGCGACTTTCATCCGACCAATCAGAGCGTTGCTTTCTAGATCATGAAAGTGACAATCGGAATGTGTTTCCTAATCATGCAATCTTGACAAGGTTAACATGAGTCCTTCCGAACATCACAGTTACTGGTTGCACGACTGATTCCATCAAAATCATCGTATATCTCTCGCTTCAATCGGAGAACCATTTGATTGGAAGAGATTTTGTATAGCAATCTCTGCCATCTATTAGACATATTCCAGAATTTTCTGTTTGTTAGTTTGAGAGATGTTCCTGGAAGAACTTTGACAAAATATTTTTTCTATAGTCTGGAATGGAAGTCACCAGTTTGAAAACTGTATTGCTCGAAGAAGCTGCATTCTGATTGGATATTGTCAACTTCTTTTTAGTCATTTCATTGGTCGGTCAAAGTTTGCGAAAGGTCGTTCCAGTAATGGGATGTCCTCAGATCTTTGTTAAGTGGTAGCGAGAACTAAGATAAGATTTTAATAAGATTGAATCAGGTCCACAAATTACCAATAGGCTGCTATGGGCGGCCATTCGGTATAAAAAACAAAGTTGAAAAAAGGACAAAAGTACGCAATTAAGGTCAAATATTATGAATAAAGAACTAAATGTTACTACTAAAGGTCAAAATACAAAACAAACAGACGAGGGTTAAACATACAAAGTTGAAATAAATGTCAAAAGTACGCAATATTAATAGTCAAATGTTACGAAAAGACGTCATAAGAAAAGAAAGAACAATGTGTACGAAAGAACGTCAGTGAGCACGAAAGGACTGCCCACAGGCCGCAGTGATATAGTTTCCGACTGGTGTAAAACCCTACTTGCTCACTCATTACTTTCAGCGTGTTATCGGTGACATTTGACGAGTCCCGCCTTGCCAGCGGGAGCCTGGACCAGACGATCAAATTGTGGGACATCAAGTCAGGGGAGTTGTTACAGACGCTGAAGGGACACACCCGCGGAGTCTGGTGCCTCAACTTCTACACCAAGCATCTCCTCATCAGTGGCTCGTACGACTCAACAATACGGGTGTGTTGATGTTCCATAAGTTTATTTGTTGTTTAATGTCGCACTCAGCAATATTCCAGCTATATGACGGCAATCTGTAAATAATCAAGTCTGTACCAGACAATCATGTGATTGACATCATGAGCATTGATCCACGCAATTGGGATACGATGACATGCATCAACCAAGTCAGCGAGTCTGACCACCAGTTCCTGTTATTCGCCTCTTACGACAAGCATAGTCCCCTTTTACGGCAAGTGTGGGTTCCTGAAGATCTATTCTACCCCGGATCTTCACAGGTCAGTTCCATGAGTGAACTTATTAAGAGTTTGGTGTCCGGTGCATTGTAATATTTAGCATTTCAATCATATGACCAATATGATGACTTTGGATAGATTTCAACAAAAATGTCTATAGACAATGCTTGCAGAGTTCTGATCCAATCTTTAACATGGCAGTCACATCAGTACTATTGAAAAAGTCATTTTAGAACCATAATTTAGCTAATGCTTCTTGTATGATCATGAAAGTTTGTTTAAAGCATTTTATTGAGGATCTGTGTTTTCTGGTCTTTCTTTCAAATAATTTCAGATCATTTTAAATAGGTGAGCTACAGTGTGCCTAGTCCTAGAAATGTGAACCCATTCTGTATGAAACAATATATGACATCAAGGTAGTCCAGTACAGTATAATTTCAAAAGTCTTTGTCTTGTCTCTTAATCACCGGAGGTTTGCTGTCAATACAATGTTGAGAAATAGTATTCACGAAGATAGAAAAACACAGTCATCCCTGGTTGTAGGGCCCCTGGTTATAATGTATAGCTATTCCTATCTTGAGGGGGGCATGGGTGGCCCAGTCGTCTAAGGCACCGCAGAAACCTATGATTGTTGGTTCGAATCCTGGTTCACCCCGATTATGTTTCTAGGTTTGTCAGCACCATACCCATGCTCGTGGGTTTCACCGAAGTGGTAAACCTGCATCACTTCGGGCTTTCCTCCAACATTAAGCTGACATGCAGTGATATAACTTGAATACTGTTAAAAGTGGCGTTAAACACAACTCACTCGCTCCTATCTCAAGAGATGAGTTGTTTCCAATGCTCGTGTTCAGGACCATACATGTTCTTGTTAGTGGATGACAGGTTATCAAGTTTGTTAATGTCTATATATCTAGAGCTTCATATAACACTCTTTTTAGTGTTTATGTATTTGACTACATTGTATTCATTGGCTAAATATTCAAGTGTATCTCAAATATAGAGCTGGCAAAAAAATGCATCAAGGGAGATAACTCTTTACTAAGTAAATTTGAACTTCAAGATTTGCGGTTGTGTTTTTGTTCTAAGTGACTGAATAACTGAAAATATTGATTTTTCGACTGAAATGTGAATTATTATCCCCTGCTGCAAAGTGGAAAGGGGATATAGGAATGGGTGCTGTCAGTCCGTCCATCACAATGCTTTTCTGGAGCAGAACTCAAAAACCATGAGAGATATCTTAACAAAACTTGGCACACAGATAGGTCTAGTGATGAACTGGTGTCTTTTGATAGTTTGGGATTTTTTTAAAAACTTATATTTCGAGTTTCCATAGCAACGACTTTGACTTTGACAGAAAATGGCGGTAGTGCTTGTTTCCGGAGCAGAACTTGAAAAACGCACAATTTTTCTTGCCTTGCACACAACCGGACATGTCATATTGGCAGGGGATATGAGTAGTTCATGCTTGTTGTCATTTTATTTCAAGATCTGGAACTTGAGAAGTGGTGGTACCACTCGGACGCTACTGGGTCATGAGGGGCCAGTGTGGGCGATGGTCAGGAGGGGCAGCACGCTGGTGTCAGCATCACAGGACAAGACGGTGAGACTGACCACACAGGTCTAACGCTTGACCGTTTTCAGAATTTCACTGTTTGAAAACAAATGAAGAAATGTTATAAATGGAAACCTATACATATATAAATTTTCCCATGGGCAAATGTTTGGATGAAATGGCTATTGGAATGCAAACCATAGGTATATTATGGTGCTAGATTAAATGTTGTTTGCAGTGAGTATATATTGAACAGTTTGAGGGAAAAGACGTATTTATCTTGGATTTCAAACTAAGTACCCTTGGCAGTCAAATGTGAAAAAAATGTTATTTTGTTTAAAGTATGACATTTTTAAAGTTTTTAAAATTTCAGAGATATTTCAAAATTGCACTGTAACATTGCACTTAATACTAGCATGTACAATTGAGCCTCTTCCTCCCGTTTGGTCCTGTTGTCTGTGGAATACAAGCCACCTCTACCAAGTCATCACACTAGTTGTAATTGGGAAGTTTGACTGACATTTGCTGCAGACCTGGTGCCGGCCATCAGCTGCAGCAGGTCTGGGTAAACCCCCCAAAAGAGGATATCAATTTGGTATCGATATCAGAACAGATTTGAAATTGATATTTTTAATTCCTGTCAAAATGACAATGTTCACTGTGTCAAATTGTTGCTTGTATCCAGGCGAAGGTGTGGGACATCGGCCGCTGTCTCTTGCTGCACACGCTCAGTGGACATCATGCTGCCGTCTTCGCTGTCGATATGACGGAAGATGGGGCCATCATCGTCACAGGCTCAGCAGACAGAGTAGGCATACTTCACTGAGAAAATAAACTGATTAATTATGTTCAAAGATTATCAAAATCAAAGTTCTTCTGAAAAATATTGATCCAAACTGATGTTTAGTTAATGTCGTGTCCACTTCCCCAAGCTGAATGGAACGTTTTCAAATTTGGGAGTGAGGAAAAAAAGACGCTTATCAAGAAAAATATTCATGTGCGGTGACTAGTCCAGGAGATTCCAGGGTTTGAGTCCCATGCAATCCTGTTTTTCAACCATTCAGATTGTATCACATTCCAATTCATTTTACAATCTATATTAATTTCCCGGAGCTTAATATTCAGTTGTAAATGTTGGCAAATTACCCATAAATTTCCATCAGTGTAGTTACTTGATAATGATGCTTCATATTACAAGAGTCAGTTCAAGATTCAATGTCTTCAGTGCAGTAAATGATACATCTTCTTTGGGTCAGTAAATAATACATCTTCTTTAGTTCAGTAAATAATACATCTTCTTTAGTTCAGTAAATAATACATCTTCTTTAGGTCAGTAAATAATACATCTTCTTTAGGTCAGTAAATAATACATCTTCTTTAGTTCAGTAAATAATACATCTTCTTTAGGTCAGTAAATAATACATCTTCTTTAGGTCAGTAAATAATACATCTTCTTTAGTTCAGTAAATAATACATCTTCTTTAGGTCAGTAATTAATACATCTTCTTTAGTTCAGTAAATAATACATCTTCTTTAGGTCAGTAAATAATACATCTTCTTTAGGTCAGTAAATAATGCATCTTCTTAAGGTCAGTAAATAATACATCTTATTTAGTTCAGTAAATATGACACTTGTTACATTTGACCCCTTTCTAAATGGCATTGTGTGTTCATAAAAGAATACAGAAGTGAAACTCCATAATCCACACTGATGCACCAGTTGTACCTATTTTCCAATATAGCAATTGTGTTTTTAAGTATCACTATACTATTGCTGTAGAAACGTTTCTCTCGATAGTGACCCTATTGAATCATAACACCCCCACCAACCCCTATTGAATACTCAATCATAACATCCAAATGTCTGATTATCTTCCTATGCTATCATTAAGAAAGTCTGCCTGTGTTGTGCAGAGTGTCCGACTGTGGGACTGTGAGTCCGGCAAGTGTAAGAAGGTGATATGGGTGAGCCAGACCACCTCCATCATGGCCGTCAGCTTCAGCCACGGCTACCTGGCCTGCTCCTATGGGGAGACAATCTGTCTGTACAGGGTCAAGGACACCAAGCTAATCAGGACCTTCCAGGAACACCGCAAAAGGTCAGATATATACACAATAGGGCTGGGACGGGTAGTTCAGGTACCCCGGTCGGGTGGGTACTGAGTAGGACCCGGGTACCCACTGGACTACCCGGATCCGTGGTTAGTCATGTGACATATAGTTTAATGACAAAAATTATGTAGAACTCTATGGTTACACTGCAAGTCACTAATGTTCGCATTTCTTTCTGACTATGCACCCATTCCCTCTGACTTTTCATATGGTTGAATAAAGATATAACTTAAGTCAACTTCAGTGTATGCATGACCAGCTCGTTTAATACATGTATCTAAATATGTTTTGAAAGTGCTCTGGTAAAACAAAATTCCCAATCAGACATTTTGTATCTCTTGAGACCTACAGTGGGTACCCGGGTATGGTCAGGTAATAGGGGGTTGGGTACTCATCCCAGCCCTAATACACAAGTTGTTAGAGAAATGTCCCAAATAATGCATCTGAAAAATTAATTAACTACAGCAATATGTTTTCAAGTATATCTCTAAACTTTTATTCCACAGTGCAACCAACATGGAATATTGTCATGAGGTTAAAGTGACTTATTATTTATTGAAGGGAGATATGAGGATTGTTGTGTCATATGTTAGACTTGCATAATCTTGTACTGACCTAGAAACTAGGGCTGGGACGAGTCCATATTTACTGTCTGGGTACCCAACCACCTTTTACCCTATCCTACCCGGGTACCCACTGTAGGTCTCAAGAGATGGGTAAAAAATGTCCGATTGGTAGTTTGAAGGTAGCCTTGGCAAAATGTATTTAGATTCAAGTAAAGAACAATCTGGTCATGCATACACTGAAGTTGGCTGAAGCTTTATCTTCATTCGAACATATGAAGTCAGAAGGAATGTGAGCATAGTCAGAAAGAAATGCGACCATTAGTGACTTGTAGTGTAACCATGGAGTCCTAGATATTTTTTGTCATTAAACAATTATTGTAATTATTATATATCACATGACAAACTACAGGTCCGAGTAGTCCTGTGGGTACCTGGGTCCTCCTCAGTACCCACCTGGCCCGAGTACCCGAGTTAACCCAACCCTACTACAAACTCATCTACAATGACAGATTTCATCTAACAGTCTCAGCTTCTACCAATTTCTCAATGATGATTGGTCAGTTGAAGCCATATGACATCACAGTGCTTATTTTTGAGAAAAATATATGATGTCATCCATTGTTCATAACATCACAAATTGATTACATGACGTCATCTGAACAATAGGCTGACTTCAGTGAAGTTTCTATGTCAGGCAGACATATCATATTTTTTTTTTTTCATTTTCTCTCTTAAACTGTCAATGATTAATATATAGAATAACCTTCTTGAAACTCGGAATTACGGATTTTTCCGTCTTGAATGAATACTTTAAGTCCCATGTCAAAGGTTCAGGAATAACACCATTTATTCATGAGGGACAGATAACTCCTTGTAGCTCGCTGGTTATTCTCTACTTGTTACTGTCTCCATGTACAGTTGTCTCGGCTCTGGGAACACTGTAACAAACAAGCTGTCAGGAGGTGGCAATGAGGATTTGAAATATTTTCAGAGTGGAAAGTGTAGAGTTGCGGATAGCTGAGTCCGAGACGTTTGAAGGGATGATTGTCAGCGCTGGTAAAGATGGCCTCCTCAAGTACTGGGATGTCAACAAGTACGTACAGACATGTTCATGAGAAGGAAAAACAATTTCTTCCGCACACAAAAAAATAATATCAGTTTTAATTTCCTGAACCGCGCTCCAAAAACTTTACCACCCTCCTGGCTTCAAGCCCCATATATTGTCTCAGACTCTTCAAGTTAACTTATGTTCAGGAATGTTTTCAATATTTTCCCCTGTGAGAAGTACTGTAGATTCCAGTGGTACCATGGGTATGAAAGTGTCAGTGGCGTAGTTGTCTAAGGGATCAGATTCATTGTGCAGAGTTGCATCCCTTAGCCTGCCAGAGTCCAAAGGTTTTGGTTTTGTCAGCACCATACCCGTGCTCGTGGGTTTCACCAAAGCGGTAAACGTCTTAGACCTGCATCACATCGGGGTTTCCTCCCACATTAAGCTGACAAGCTGGCATAAATCTCACTTATCATAAAAAAAACATGATACAGAGTTTGATGATTTCTAAATTATATTTGTTGTTATCTATTGTCATATGAAAATATTGGGTGTTCTTGAATTTCTTTTGAGCAGTATATTTATCACCAATATGTAATTTGAATGATTTATGTTTTCCAGAGATGAGAGTATTCAGACCTTTGTTGGCCACTCAGAGCAGGTGAACTGTATACGCTTTGATGAACTGAGAATTGCCAGTGCTTCCTACGACCACAAGATCCGAATCTGGGACTTCAATGTATGAAACTGAGACTTCAGTGTATGAAACTGAGACTTCAGTGTATGAAACTTGAAACTTCAATGTATGAAACTTGAGACTTCAGTGTATGAAACTGAGACTTCAGTGTATGAAACTTGAAACTTCAATGTATGAAACTTGAGACTTCAGTGTATGAAACTGAGACTTCAGTGTATGAAACTTGAAACTTCAATATATGAAACTTGAGACTTCAGTGTATGAAACTTGAAACTTCAGTGTATGAAACTTGAAACTTCAGTGTATGAAACTGAGACTTCAGTGTATGAAACTTGAAACTTCAGTGTATGAAACTTGAAACTTCAGTGTATGAAACTTGAGACTTCAATGTATGAAACTTGAGACTTCAGTGTATGAAACTGAGACTTCAGTGTATGAAACTTGAAACTTCAATATATGAAACTTGAGACTTCAGTGTATGAAACTTGAAACTTCAGTGTATGAAACTTGAAACTTCAGTGTATGAAACTGAGACTTCAGTGTATGAAACTTGAAACTTCAGTGTATGAAACTTGAAACTTCAGTGTATGAAACTTGAGACTTCAATATATGAAACTTGAAACTTCAGTGTATGAAACTGAAACTTCAGTGTATGAATCTGAAACTTCAGTGTATGATGTTGAGACTTCTATGCATCGAATTTGAAACTTCAGTGTATGAAACTTGAGACTTCAATGTATGAAACTTGAAACTTTCGACAAGTATTTCCAGTTAGGACCTGTTTACAGAGTGGCTTGTACCTGTCAGTTTGTTCGTCTGTGTTATCCGTCTGACATGGAAGGAAGGATATGTGCTGTTCACGCATCAACAGTTCTGTACCAGCAGTGGCTGCATGCTACACAATGTTTATGTCAGAGTTATTCCAATCAGCCATTAGCCATTGAATCTACACTTACTTCATTGGACGCTTGTAAGCCAAGGAAGTTCCATATTCTGTTGGTGTATTTGTCAACACTCAGAGGTAAATATGGCATAACTACATGTAACTTATGCCCTACTCAGGGCCAGTAGACACAATTCTTCCTTACCTTGCAAACTTTTCACAGTTTCACGTATCACAGCTGACAAGTTTAACTGAATCAGGCCTAAAATAGTCACTCCAAAAATCCTTAAAATAGTTTCTAATGCTTCTGTCATCATTGTGGCTTGACAATCATAAGATTTCGGGTTTGTATGCCAGGCAGGGACGTTTTCATTAGTGCAGTAATTACAGAGACCAGACCTAGACTAGAAATTATATTATATTGGGGAGCATGGTCTCTCTCAGAGGAAGATTAAACAAATTATTAATACTGTCATTTTGAATTGATTCCAATGTTAGTCATCCAGTAAGTTGACATTACCTCAAGCAAGTACAGGACACATCACATGTTTTATCTTATCCCGGTGTTGAGCATGTACATTAAACTACGGTTACAATGAACACAAAGGGACCACTAAGTTTAGTTTGTTATAAGTGTAGTTTGAGTGAGTATGGTTTTTACGCTGCTTTTAGCAATATTCCAGCAATATCATAGCGGGGGACACCAGAAATGAGCTTCACACATTGTACCCATGTCGGGAATTGAACCTGTGTCTTCGGCATGATGAGCGAACGCTTTAACCATGTTAACCACAAGGCTACCTGACCACCCCTAACCGTAGTTTGTTATAAGCATATATACAGCATATATACAAGAAATAGCCAGGAGAAAAAAACATTTGTTTTATTGATCAGTTTGTTATAAGCGTGTTCGTTATAATTTACTGTAGTAGGTTTTGGTCAATAACAAACAAGGATTTTTTGTAGTCATAGTCAACTCCAGATAAGTCAAAGCTTGCAGAGGGCTCAATGAAATGTGTGTCTTATAATCTGTGTATTTGCATGAGACATCACAGTTCTTAACATTACTTGGGGATGGATTGGGGTTGTTCTATGTGACTGTGAAGGACATGTGAGTGTGTCAGCAAATCTGATGGTTTGTTGGCCTAAAATCAATGAAAATCATACAACAGAATATGTTTGGGATGGAATCAAAGTCTCAAGATCGGATCGACTAAGGCAGCGACCATTTGATATTCTTGGAGGGGGCTAGGATTTTGTATTGAGACCAGATATTTTTTCAGCTTCAGTTGCAAAACCAGATATTTTCTTAAATAAAACTTTGGGACAAAATATTCTTTTCTAAAAAACGCATTGCAACAAGGTAATTTTTGTGGCGGACAATTTCTTTTTGTTCAACAAATTTGAATCATAAATATCTTTTTCATTAAAATCCCAGACCCGACCCCAATATCAAATGGTCAACCCCTAACCCTCCATAGGAGACTTAGTCAGGTGAACATTCAAATCAGCCAATGAAATTAAGTTGGTTGAACTTTTTAATCAGCCAATCAGGCTTCTAAATTCTTGGTTTGAGTGATTGAGAAAAGCATTTGGAGCAGCATAACTGATTTCTGTACCTCAAAATAGTTTTATGTAAATGGGCAGTTCTAAATGGAGAATAATAATGGCTGGATTATGCTGTGGACATGGTACCGAGAATCTGATAAATATTATGCATTCAGCTGTTTATTTGGCAGACATTTTGTTGTACTTTATTTTTACTGCATTGTGCTGACAAGCCTGCTTGGTTGCCATGGAAACACAAAGACAACTATTGTTTGGATATCATTGCAGGGCGGGGTCGTGTCAGTACTGTCCCATGTGACTGAGTGCACTTTACTGTTTTCCTATGTGTTTGCTGTGTTTTTCAGTTATATCTGGTGTTGACAGTTATCAGGTATAACATGATAATTTGACAGAAATACCTCAGGTATCCTTGCTGTTGTAAGCATCAAGTACTTTTATGGAATTTATTTTAAAAGTATATCAAGTGCGTGCATGTGCCTGTGGTGTCTGCGTGTGTGTGTATGGTGTCTGCATGTATGGTGTCTGCGTGTGTGTGCATGGTGTGTGTGGTGTCTGCATGTGTGTGTATGGTGTCTGCATGTGTGAGGGTGTGTGTGTATGGTGTCTGCGTGTGTGAGGTTGTGTGTATATGGTGTCTGCACGTGTGTGTGGTGTCTGCGTGTGTGTGTATGGTGTCTGCGTGTGTGAGGGTGTGTGCAAGGGGTATACACACACATTTTACATGTCAACCAGTGTCAGTCCCTCTCTCAGGTGTTCTCTTCCCTTTAACATGTTTAATAGTGACTTAAGATATGTGCACCTCCTTTTTCCAAGTCGTCTGTCCATCTCTTTTCATGCTGTTGACTCATAACATGGATTACAGATTAGTTCTTCCAAAACATCGGGTGTGTGGATAAAACGGAAATAAATATGATGTCATGGACTGATTTTGGGCAGTGAAATAGAACAAAGCCTTAGAGTGAGTGAGTGAGTTTGATTTTACGCTGCTTTCAGGAATATTCCAGCAATATCACGGTGGGGGACACAGGAAATAGGCTTCTCACATTGTACCACATTGTCGGGAATCAAACCCGGGTCTTCGGCATGACGAGCGAACCCTTTAACCACTAGGTTACCCGACTGCCCCCCAAAGCCAGTGTTAGTGTTTATGACTACAGTTTTGCTTTATTGACGAGACTAGATTCTCAAAATTACATTTTTGTATTCCACATTTGTTAGATTTAGGGAGAGTGGTTCCTTAGATTTTTTAGCTGGAATATTGCTGAATGTGACATTGAACAACCAGCAAACATAAAACTCAATACTGGAAAGTTTTGTGTTGAAACAAATGCACTGTAATCTTTTGTGGTATTTATTTTACACATTATTCATATTTTGTTTTCACAGGGGGTAAAGCGGTTATCTCCTGCTATATACACCCAATATTCGCAACGTTGTGAATTCAGTGTTTTTCCATTGTGCCAAATATTATAATTTTGGCAAATAAGCTTTTGTTTCAGATCAGTATTAGATATATTTATGTACATATTATTGTTGCTAGGTCAACTTTTGTTTGATTTTTGAACAGGTAAACATCAGGGAGATTCTATAAAAAAAATTTGTTTATGATGGTTTAAAATGTTTCTTGAGGAAATATTTTAACAGAATGTTTTATAGCTTCACATTTGGTTTAGAGTTGGTATCTATAGGTTAATATAATCTGAATTTTCAATTTTTCATATTCTAATCATTAAGACTCAAATAATAATGGTATACATTTCTACATTTCATTTATTCAACTTGTTCATTCTGAAGGGTTGGTTGTATGGCCAGAACATCAAGAAAATCAGGTTTCCAGAAAAATCAGTTAGGTTCCAGTAAGAACTGTCCAGAAATCATTCCTCTCAAAACTAGTGTGTGGAGCTGAGACTAGACTTCATTCATCATTATATGGATCCCCATGGGTTCAAACTTATAACTTATTCTGGTTAGGATACAGAAAACTAGAATCACTTGCAGAGTTTTTGAGTTCATTTTTGCCAAACTTGGGCCAGATCAGCTGGTTTCCATTTTCCTCTGCAAGCCTCCCCAGATTTGGTCAATTAAAAAGATAGAAATAAAATATATATGTTGAAACTATTCTTTAGTTTCTTTTATTAATTAAGTGAGTGAGTAAGTGAGTGAGTGAGTGAGTTTGATTTTACGCCGCTTTTAGCAATATTTCAGCAATGTCACGGCGGGGGACACCAGAAATAGGCTTATTAATTCACTCATAGTTTTATATAAAAAAATATCTGATTTTGTATCTGTAGCTCCCCCAGACTATCACATGGCTGATCCCTTACATGAGTGTGTCTATCGACTGATTTTAGGAAATGTGTCTGATTTTTGTATGTATTTGTGCAATCTCATTAAAATCAGATCTAAGTTCTCTCTGCTGCGAAGCAAAGGGATAGTGGGAACTAAGATCTGATTTTATTGAGATTGGTATTTTTGATACATGAATCTCTTTATTATGGTATCCACACTTTATTATTAATGTCTGCTCTATTACAATCATGTCAAGAAATTTACAGGGTCGACACGATGTCAACAATGAGAAACTGACATCATTGCAGTTGTGGCATCATTACAAATAGCGTAAACAACCTTGTTTGTGCAGCAGCAGCAGCAGCAGCAGCAGCATTGTGTCAACAGTGCTGTGTGTGAAGTTATTATTATATGTGTGCTTCATATGGATGTTAAGTCTTCCTTGAACCAGATGGATTATAAATATATCCGTTCCCCTGTTATGGGTTTTCGGACGCTTAAGAAACATACATAGTTTTCTCTCTAATCACGTGAACAACTGTGAAACATCTCATTCACTTTTAAAAGACAACTTTCTCTTAAAAACAAGCCTTCGTCTGAGAAATGTCAATGTCTGTGTGATGCTACGTGCCCCGTTATAGCTCGAGTAATCACGATAAACATGGCCATCCGAAAACATATGGTCCGACGATATGTAT